ACAACAACAACAACAACAACATTTGAACTGCAAGGTCAGTGGTTCAAGCTCACCAGCTGCTCCTCGGAAACCCTATACAGGGTCACTATGGGTTGGAATCAACTTGACGGCACTTAACAACAACAACATAGACACGCCCATGTTAGTATCCTAATGACTCCTAGCATCCATTCAGTTCCAGAATGAACGTCCCAGTAGTCTCCTCTGTGATTCCTTTCCTCTGTTAACAGTGCCCCCAGAGGTAACCCTGAGCTTAAAGTTTTAGGATTACTTTGGATTTTTCTCTCCCTGCTGTCTTCCCCTAATGTCAACAAACCCAGAAACTCCTCCCCTTCTCATGTTTCCTTGCCTAAAGCTTCCCAAGGCATCATATAAACTTCTTTATTTTTTTGCCTTCAGTGAATCTTTGATAATTCTCTACTCAGCTGTCTCAGTTAAGCTTCCTAAAACAGAAATCTGATTATGACCTTGACTGCCTGAAAGTCTACATTGATTGTCTGTTGCTAGGAGGTTAAAGGGTTTACTTTTAATTTCACTTACCCATAAGACTTTCCACTATTAAACCTATCTACATCTGTGGGCTCCTGACAGTACCCCCACTCTTACTTGACTCCCAAGTCCTTCATTGATTTTTAGGCTCTTTATATTATTTTCTCCAATCTTTCATGATCTTACTTTTGGCCTACTGGACTCAGGTAATCTTTGACAATCATTTCTTAAAGCATAGTCGTTATAGTTCAGGGCCATTCCTAATTTGTTTCCTTGCTGCAAACACAATATACATGTGGAGTCTCTAGGAACGAAACTGTGTCTTGGTTACCTGGATATTTCTAGAGACAGATCAGGTGAGTGCTAGTACCTGGACATCATGCCTAAGCAGAACGAATGAGTGAATAAATGAATGCATCGAGTATACCTGAAAGATGGGCACAGAACACTAAATCACAGATACTCACCCCTGCTTTGATGTATATGGGGACAAAGAACCACCCTAGAACTAGCAGCAGCAGCAAGGCCTACAGAAAGAAAAGGGGAAAAAAACATAAATCTAACAAGATTTGGTTGTGTTTAACTTTATAAACTCTGAGTCTGAAAAAAGAATTTTGCTTGAATTCTGTCTCACTTCACCCAGTTATGACCCCCAGATAGCATGTATGGATTCTTTTCGTGTTTCCATGATTCAGAGGTCACATTGTCTAGGGGCTTAGAACATGACACAAGATGTGTGGTGAAAAATGAATAGAAGATAAAAGGTCTGAGCCCCAAATAAAATAACCTTGGAATGATAGGGATTATAGGCAGAGTGACAAAGCAATTAGGAAGAAAGTTGGAGATAACATTCCTAACATCCATCCTCCAAGTCTTGAAATATAGTGATTATCATACGATTGTATTAATATGTAATGTTTACAGAGTCTTCATGTGTATCACTAATGATAATTTCACAATAACCAGGTGAGGAAGGTGTGGTAAGGCTGTCATTCCTGTCTTATGGGGAAGGAACTGAGGCTCACAGAGATAAAGGAAGCCCAAGGTCACACACAATAAAAAGGGCAGCTAGGATTTGGGCAGCCTGATAACCACGCCCAGTTGGCCACACTGGCACATTACTTCATATCTTTGGGGACTGAGTCCATTCCAGTTCCCTATCGGAGCTCATCTGTCAGTTTGTTGTACTGTGGTAGCTTGTGAGTTGCTGTGATTCTGGAAACTATGCCACGGGTATTTTAAATACCAGCAGGGTCACCCATGGTAGACAGTTTTCAGATGAGCTTCCAGACAAAGTCAGACTAGGAAGAAGCATCTCAATGTAAAGAAAACAAAAATCCTCACCACTGGACCAATAAACAACATTCTTTTCAATGGAGAAAAGATTGAAGTTGTCAAGGACTTCATTCTTTTTGAATCAACTATCAACACTCATGGAAGCAGCGGTCAAGAAATCAAATGGCTTATTGCATTAGATAAATCTGCTGCACAAGACCTTTTTAAAGTGTTGAAGAGCAAAGATGTCAGCTGAAGGACTAAGGTGTGCCTGACTCAAGCCATGGTATTTTCAATAACTTCATATGCATGCGAAAGCTGGACAGTGAATAAGGAAGACCATAGAACAATTGATGCTTTTAAATTATGGTGTTGGAGGAGAATATTGAAAGTGCCATAGGCTGCCCAAAGAATCAACAGATTTGTGTTGGAAAAAGAGCAGCCAGAGTGCTCCTTGGAGGCCTGGATGGTTAAACTCTGTCTCTCATTCTTCGGACATATTGTCAGGAGGGACCAGTTGCTGTAGAAGGATATCATGTTTGGTAAGGTGGAGGGTCAGCGAAAAAGAGGAAGACCTCCAGTGAGATGGACTGACAAAATGGCAGCATCAATGGGATCAAGCTTGGCAACAATAGTGAGGTTGGCCCAGGATCAGGCAGTTTTTCATTCTGTTGTGCATAGGGTTGCTATGAGTCAATACCGACTGGATAGCACCTAACAATGACAAAAATGGAACTCTGGTAGCATACTGGATATGAGTTGGGCTGCTAACCTCAAGGTAAGCAGTTCAAAACTACCAGTGGTTCCAGGGAGAAAGATGAGGCTTTCTGCTCCCATAAAGATTTACAGCCTCGGAAACCCTGTACACGGTCACTGTGAGTCAGAATAGACTCCACAGCACATAACAATAACAAAGATTTACAACCTCAGAAACCCTATACAGGGTCGCTGTGTGTTGGAATCGACTTGACGGTACTTAACAACAACAACAAAAATTGGACTGATAACTTCAAGGTCAGCAATTTGAAACTTCTATTCTGTCTGTGGGAGAAAGATCCTCATCTTTCTGCTTCCATAAAGATTTACAGCCTTGGAAACCCTATGTAGGGTTGCTATGAGTTGGAACCTACTTCACAGCACATAACCCCCACCACCAAAGGAGCCCTATGGAGTCTTAGCATGGCGTTATGGGTTAATGCGCTGGACTTCTAGGTCATTTGAACCACAACGTCGGTGGTTCAAGCTCACCAGCCACTCCTTGGAAACCTTATACAGGGTTGCTGTGGGTCAGAATCGACTTGATGACGACAACAACAACAAAGGAGATTGCTTGGTGGATTACGAGCTGGGCTGTTAACCACAAGGTCAGTAGTTCAAATCTATCAGTCTCTCTGTGGGAGAAAGATGAGGCTTTCTACTCCTGTGAAGATTTACAACCTTGGAAACCCTATGCAGGATCTCTATGAATTGGAACCAACTCGGTGGCACACAATCACCACCACCACCATCATTATCAAGGAGCACTAGTAGCATTAAGAGTTGGGCTGCTAATCTCAAGGTCAGCAGTTCAAATATACCAGCTACTCTGCCAGAGACAGATGAGACTTTTTGTTCCCATAAAGATGTATAGCCTTGGAAACCCTATACAGGATCACTATGATCAGAATCCACTCCATGGCACATGACTACCACCACCACCACCATTATCTGAAAACAACAAAAAAACTAGGGGCAAAATATCCAACAAAGAACCACAGGCATTTATGATGACTCAAGGTCACTTCCTGAGCCCATGTGATACTTTCACTATTACAATTTTATTTGATTCTCAAGTCCTTCACTGATTCTCATTCTCTTTATATTATGTCTTCCAATCCTTCATGATCCTACTTTTGGCCTATTGGACTCAGATAATCTTTGAGAATCATTTCTTAAAGCACAATCGTCATTGTTCAGGGCTATTCCTAATTTGTCTCCTTGCTGCAAACACAATATACACCTGGAGTCTCTCTAAGTAAGGAACTCAATTTTCTTCCATTCAAAGATCTTCCTCTGACTGATATGTACACTTGTGTATACACAAACAGTATTTATGGCATGTTCACTGAGAAAGAAAATGGCCCCTGATCTTAAAGAACTTAGTCTAATCAAGAAGATACAGTTTCTGCTGGTAAAATGACAATAGGAGCCTTGGGAACTCAATTACAAAGCCTTGTAGATTCTACCCACCAACTCTCAAATCATTCACTTCTCACTTCATGACTCAGTCAGGCCACACTTGGTTAATTCCTCCTGATGTGAGTTTCAGGAAGCTCCCCTGACATGTGCTAAGTTTTACTTCTTGTCCGCAATGGACACTCCTCCTGTGAGATCCCTCAATAGCTACATATACTCTTCCCTTGTACTTGCTAAACTCTGTTGCATGTGTCTCTGTCTCTCCCTGTAGAATGTAAGCTCCTTAAAAGAAGGAAGCATGGTTTTTACACTTTTTTTTTTCTTTCTTTTTTTTATCCCTTGCACATAGAGTGATAGATAGCTCAAGTAGGGGAGAGAGAGCTGAGAGCTAAAATGGCCAAGAAGGTCAAGTGAAAGTAGGTTTGAGTCAGATAGAAATGACATTCATGGTGGGAACAACTACTTGAGGGAAAACTCAGAGATGGGGAATCTTATGCTGAAATGGTCCAGGCAGAACGAGCTGCTTGACAAGTTCCTAAAAGTAAAAAATGAGATGGATTAGAAAGAAGTCATAGAAATCAAACCAAGTAGAAGTTTAATCCTATACAGACTCCCAGAAAAAAAAAAAAAAAAAAAAAAGATCTGGATATGGGTTTGATGGAAAAGAAAAAGCCCATGATGTGACTTACATTCCATTCAAATGCTGCAGTGGCGATGCCTGAAGCTGCTCCTGTCCCAGCCAGTCCCACGAAGTGACCACTGCCTATATTACTAGCAAAAAGGGAGGCACCCATCTGAAATCCAAGAGATCAGAGTTGAAAGACTCAAATTAGAATTCATGAAATTAGGTATAGGTTGAGAAACTTCAATCATTACTCCTTAGGGCCAAATGTGGTAAATGATGGTCGTACACTAAATCTGCCTATCACTTGTTTGTTTGGCTCCTAAACCAAGAATGGTCTTTACATGTTTGAATGTTAAAACAAAACCAAAAATGAAACAACACAACAATCTAGAGAAGAGGAATATATATTTTTAACTTTTTATTGTGGATTGAGTGAAATGGAGTTTTATTAAATTGTCTGATCAGACATCAACTTCTTTGTCCTTCTATTTAAAATTATTTTTTGGGGGTAAATATTGAAAGTTGAACCAATTACATAACCACAAACGACCTCAGTCCCATCCTCTGGGCCCAAATATCTGAATGGAAAAGGTGACTTTACAGAGGACTGGAGAGATGGAAACAGTGTGCAGTACACTAAAGAAGTGGGCACTGCAGAGGTCGCACATTCCCAGGTCTGTCAGGAATGGGGCTCATCTATGCCCATTCAAGAGAGCTCTTGAACTAGAGACAAGACCAGTAGGTAATGTGATGGAAAGGGTGATGGATGAGAAAGGGTCTGAGGGTCAGGATGGTGGAAGGAAGCACCCAAGAATTCCCAGCTTTGGGATTCTTGAGGCTGAACAGAAGAGCAGGTGCTGATTGGAGGTATGCTAGTTCTTGTCCAAGGACAGGCTCAAATCAGAGTTGGAGGTAGATAGTCCAATGGTCCTCTAAGGTAGCAGTTGGTAAGATTTTTCTATAAGGTTCCAGATTGTAAGTATTTGATTTATATGCCATACACTATTACATCCACAAAACTCTGCCATTCTAGTACAAAAACAGCTATTATTAATACATACACAAATTAGCGTGATTGTGTTAAATAGCCATTTGTGGACACTACAATTCTAGTTTCAATTAATTTTCACATTTCACAAAATATTCTTCTCTTCACCCTATCCTCTAGAGCCAGTATGAGTCAGAAATGATTTGATGGCAGTGAGCTTGTTTTTTTGGGAGAGTTTGTTCAGCTCTTTTGCAGATTCTCTTTCCCTATTTCTCATCAAAAAAATATTTTACCTTGATTTCGTATTATCTCAAGGAATCTGAAAAAGAGCTGAACAAACTCCCCCCAAAAAACAAACTCAACTACCATCAAGTCATTTCTGACTCATCTGACTCTAGAGGATACAGTAGAAATGCTCCAAAGTGTTTCTGAGGCTATAAATCTTAATGAAAGATGACTGCCTTATTTTTCTCCAGTGGCATAGCTGGTGGATTCGAACCACTGACCTTTTGGTTAGCAGCTTATAATTTAACCCAATGCACCACCAGGACACTTGTAGAGTTGAACTTGTTGCTGTTGTTTTTAAGTGCCTGAGACTTAGTTCCGAGTCGTTGTTGTTAAGTGCTGTTGAGTTTGTTCCAACTCGTAGCGGCCCAGTATAGGGTTTCTGAGGAGCAGCTGGTGGGTTTGAGCTGCCAACCTTGGGGTTCACAGTCCAGTATTGATACTACAACACGATACCCAGAGGGGTCCTTAAATACCAGACAACCAGCTCTCATAACTGGAGACTTACTATAAGTCAATAAAACTAAAGAGAGAGCCCTGAGGTCAGTGTTTAGGGAAACAGATGCCAGCAAGTGGGCATACAGTGTAATTCAGGAAACATCATCATTCCCCATGTTTCCTTTATTCACTGTTACATATACATACCAAACAAAACCAAACCCACTCTCATTGAGTTGATTCTGACTCATAGTGATACATATAATATTTAGTGTCAGTAAATCCTGACCCACTCACCGGCCACCAGGCCACATCTCGACCAGCCAAGAAGAAGCCTCCAACAGTGCCCCGGTTGGTCTTCAGCATGGCCTGAGCAGAAGGGAAAACAGGTGATGATCAAATCAAACACCTTCACCAAGCCAACCAGATGCTCTGGCCAGAGTGCTGACAGAGGCAACTGCTTCAGCTCTTCCAAACAGAGACACATTTCCCTGGAAGCTGTGGTATAACTGATGCCCTGATTAAATGCTTCAAAAATCATGCTTGCATAAAACCCTAGAACAGAGAGGAACTTGTGAAATCATATCCTTCAACTTTTGTCTTAAGTGCTCTGTTTATTTTTATCCACTCAAACAATGTGAGGTACCACTAAAGCTGAGCTTGCAAGAAATTTTGCATTTTTTACCTCATTAAAAAGAAATTATGAAATGGATTATGTGTTCAACTCATTGTGTAAGACAGTAAGTAAATAGCAAAGGAAAATAAAATGAACGAGACAATAAAAATAAAGTTCTTATTCACTCATGCCAGTCTCTGGAGATGCCAAACAGAATAAATCGGTGTTCCCAGTGTTGGTGTTCTTAATAATGATGGAGTTGCTAGGAGAATAAATTAACTCATGAAGCTTAGTGTAAATCTTATTTATGTCACACACACAAAATTAAAACTAGAAAAATCGCATTTGTGAACGCTGTCACATATCCGTAGCTTTTCCACTTCACTCCCCTCCCTCAGTAAGACACTTTCTCCCCATGTCTCATGCCCTCAGTAAGACACTTTCTCCCCATGCCAAAGCCCTAATGGGCTACCACATACCCATAGCCCGACCACCATCACCACCACAAAATAGATGACAATGACAGAGATGTCAGCAGCATTTTGGATGCGATCTGACATCGCAGGCAGCTTCGAGGCCTCAGATGTGGTGCTGGGGCTCACTGTACTGGTCATGGTTGTTGGTAGTGCTTCCCCCTCTCAGGGTGGCCCCTTCCTTATAAAAGCTGTGGGTTAATGATCACCATCAGTAGGTGGGGCATGATAACAGAACCGGTGTTTGGCCTGAGGACCTTTAAACCTGTGTTCTGAAGCTGAACTCAGAGACTCTGGCTCCACAGTGGCTGGTGTTGGCCTAGGCAGAGGTTGAGGAAGAGGCAAGAGGGTCCACAAATGGGGTGAGACCTGGAGGTAGAGGGTGCAAGGTTACTGAGTGGAGACGCTGGGCCTTTATGAAGACTTGGCAAGGTCAAGTAGGGCTTAGAAAGTGACAGAGGGAGAAAAAGTGGAAAAGGGGTCAGAATACAGCCAGCAAGGGGCTGATGAATATGGTCCCTTATAGAACAGAGAAGATTCCTGAACCAGAAACTTAATCCCTTGAAAATAAAGTTAATTATGCATTTAATGGGTTCTAAAGACCAGTATGTTTTTGGAAGGAGTAGCCGGAAATAGACTTAATATGACACGTTAGAACTGTGGTGACTTGTGCAGGAAATGGATATGTCTCCACCAGCCCAACACATGGATAGTGGATGATACAGGGCTATTTGTGCTGGTTCAGGAGTTTGGACCTGAAATTGTCTGATGGTGAATCTCAGAACATCAGCCAGAAGTTAGAAGTAAAGCACCAACAGTCTTGATTTGTACCAAGATTGTCTAATCTTAATAGTCTGGTGACCATTTGGGTCACTTGGTTTTTGAGCATTCCCAAAGGTCCAAATTGTTTGGGAGATGTCTTCCTCCTACTGGGAGTGAACTTGAATCAAACACACCATTAATCAAGTTCTAAAAGACCCCAAAAAGCCCATTTGGAAAAGTAGAAACTCCTGTGTGCAGGGAATATGATCTTATTATGCATTTCATCAAGGAGAACCATGGAGTTCCAAAATAAGGAGTACAGGCTGCTGTGCTGACTTTTTATAACCACCCTGAACTTTACACCTTCAACTTTAATGTGGGGATAGTAATGCACTCCTATGTGGATGGAGACCACTAATCCTACCTAATCACTAATCCAGACATTCAAAAAGTAAAGGGCTGTGGTCAATATGAGCTTAAGGGAAGTGTTTGTTGCTGTTACGTGCTGTTGAGTTGGCTCTAACTCATAGAGACCCTATGCAGTTTAACCGCTTGCCTGTCAGTTTGTTGTACTGAAGTGGCTTGCATCTTGCTGTGATGTTGGAAGCTATGCAACCGGTATTTTAAATGCTAGCAGGATCATCCATGGTGGACTGGTTTCAGCAGAGTTTTCAGACAAGGAAGAAGGAGAGGCAGGCTACTTCTAAATGGCTAGCACTGAAAATATTATGAACAGCAGTGGAACATTGTCAGATATAGTACTAGGAGATGAGCCCCTCAGGTTGGAAGACACTAAAAATATGACTGGGAAAGAACTGCCTCCTAAAAGTAGAGTTGGCCATAGTGACATGAATGGAGCAAAGATTTTGGGACCTTCAGTTCTGATGGATACAGCTCAAAATAAGGAGAAACATCTGTAAAAATCCATTAATAATTGGAACATGGAATGTATGAAGTATGAATCTAAGAATATTGGAAGTGTCAGTTCATCAAAGAAAGCAGAGGGAGAGGGAGGCGATGCTCAAACTACCCCTCCCACTGAAAACTTTCTATGATATTTGACATCTGTGCCAACCAGACAACCTAGAGGCTTCACCTCTATTACACAGAAAGGAATTTTCCAGAAAACCCAGAATAAAAATGAAAAATTATTTTGTGCTACTATCTATCCAATTGTTTGCCAAAATGCCTTTCAGATTCATCTCTTCTTCTATCTATGCATTGCCTTCTTTAGACCCATCATCTCTCCTTGTCTTGCCTCCTTGCTTTTAAGCCTATTTTCAAATCTCTTTCTGAAGAAAGGTCGGTGTAACAGCAATGCCTTTAACAAAACTATCTACCAATTAAGTAATACAGAAAAGATAAAAGCCAAACTCTTCATTCTGGTTCCACAGATCCTTTACCATCTGACCCAACTCCAGGCTCAGGGTCAAATTAACAATGGTGCACCCATACATTTTGAGATAAAAGGGAAATCAGGCACAGAAGTAAGCAAGTACAAATAGGGGAAGATCAATGCCACATCACACCACACCACATGAATATCACGAAGGCACCTACGAATAGAAACTAAACAAGAGGTTGTTTCTTCAGAGCTAACAGGGAAAGTCTTTTCATAGAACTAATGCCATGAATTAAAACTTGTAGCCTCCTAAACCATGAAAAAATAAATTTCTGTTTCTTAATACCACCTACTTGTGATAGTTTTGCTATAATAGCACTAAAACAACAAGACACTATCAGGTGACCCAACAGAATGCAGAAATCATCAAAAAATATCATTAATATCACATGCAAGTGCAATTTTGCTAAAGATAAATTAAAAATGGCTGCAGTAGTACATTGACAGGAAGCTGCCAGAAATTCAAGCTGGATGTAGAAGAGGACATGAAATGAGGAATATTATTGCTGATGTCAGATGGATCTTGGCTGAAAGCAGAGCATATCAGAAGAATACTGACTATGTAAAACCTTTCTACTGTGTGGATCATAACAAACTATGGGCAACATTGTAGAGAATGGAGATTCCAGAACACTCAATTGTTCTCATGAGCAACCTGTACATAGACCAAAAGGCAGTTTTTAGAAAAGAACAAAAGGATGCTGAATGGTTAAAATCAGGAAACGTGTTCTACCCTTTCAATATACTTATTCTATCTGTTGTTATTAAATGCTGTTGAGTCAATTCTGGCTCATAGCAACCCTATACAGGGTTTCTAAGGAGTAGCTGGTGGGTTTGAACCACTGACTTTGTGGTTAGCAGTCTAGTGCTTATCCTACAGTGACACACCAGGACTCTATTCAATCTGTATGCTGAGCTAATAATCTAAGAAGCTAGATTACATGAAGAACATGGCATCAGGATTGGAGGAAGACTAATAACCAACCTATGATATGCAGATGACACTACATTGTTTGCTGGAAGTGAAGAGGAAGAGGACTGACTTGAAATACTTACGATGAAGATCAAAGACTTCAGTATGAATTGCACCTCAAGGTAAAGAAATAAAAAATTCTCAAAACTGGACCAATAATATAATAAACAAAGAAAACATTGAGGTTGTCAAAGACTTCATTTTTCTTGGAAGCAGCAGTCAAGAAATGAAAAGACATTAAATTAAGCAAATCTGCAAAAAATCTCTTTTAGGTGTTAAAGAGAAAAGATGTCACTTTGAGGACTAAGATGTGCCTGGCCCAAGCCATATTTTCAATCACCTCATTTGTATGCAAAAATTGGATAATGAATAAGGAAAACCATAGAAGAACCAATGCAATTGAATTATAGTGCTGGAGAAGAATATGGAAAATACTATGGACTACCAGAAGAACAAACAAATCTGTCATAGAAGAAGGACAACCAGAAAGCTCCTTAAAAACAAGGATGGCAACACTTTGTCTCTCATACTTTGGTCATGTTGTCTGGAGGGACTAGTCCCTGAGGAAGGACATCGTGATTTGTAAAGTGGAGAGTCATCAAAAAGAAGACGAACTCCAATGAGGTGGATTTACACAGGGACAGCAACAATGAGCTCAAATGTAACAACAATTGTGAGGATGGCATAGGATCAAGTAGTGTTTTGTTTTATCATGCATAGGGTCACTAGGAGTTGGAACTGACTCGATGGCATTTAATAACAACAACAACAAAGTCCCTTGTCTGATATATTATTGCCAAATATTCTTTTCC